AGGAATAGAAGGAAAAATCCTCAACACAATAAAGGGCATATATGCAAAACCAACAGCCAACATTATTTTCAATGGAGAGAGACTGAAACCATTCCCCTTGCGAACTCGAATCAGAAAAGGACTCTATCACTACTTCTACTCAACATTGTATGGAAAGTCCTAGTAGGGCAATAAAGCAAGAAAGGGAAATCAAAGGCATCCAAACTAGTAAGGAAGAAGTCAAACTATCCCTATTTGCTGATGATATGATCCTATACATAGAAAACCCAAGAGACTCAGTCAAAAGTCTACTGGAACTAATTGAGAGATTTAGCAACGTGGCAGGATACAAGATCAACATCCAAAACTCAGCTGGATTCCTCTATACCAGCAAAGAGATTGCTGAAAAAGAAATAAGGAAATCAATACCATTTACAATAACTACCAAAAAAAAATAATTGAGGATAAATCTCACTAGGGACACAAAAGACCTGTACAAAGAAAACTACAAAACACTACTTCAAGAAACCATAAGAGATCTACATAAATGGAAGAACATACCCTGGTCATGAATAGGAAGATTGAACATCATGAAAATGTCAATACTACCCAAAGCAATCTATACATTCAATGCAATCTCAATCCAGATCTCATCAACATTCTTTAAGGATATGGAAAAACTAATCACTAATTGCTAAAAAGGCAAGGAGGCCACATCTTCTGACCTCCTCTAACCTCACAAGAGGAAGACAGAATCACTATCAGTAGCCCAAGGCCTATTTGTGCAAGGCCAGACATGTTGCTTCCCTTCAGCCCTTTCACCAACCATTCCTCCCAAAGCACCCACCACCTCTCTCCTGGGTTCAGTAATTCACTGCAGTGGCCACACAGAACTCACAGATTATTGGGTTTATTAGGGAAGCACCAGATTACAATTCAAGTTCAGGAAAAACGCTCAGTCTCTCTCAGCCCTCCGTCTCTCACACAACAGTCTCTCAGTCTCTCTCCCAGAAGTGCATGTCCCTCGGTGTCTCTCTCAGCAATGCATGTCTCTTGCGTCTCTTTCCCAGCAGCACGTGTCTCTCCAGAGCACGTCTCTTTCAGCAGCACATCTTCCTTAACCAGCAGTCAGAGAGAGACCTCTGCTTCTAGGAGGCCTCCTTTTAAGCCTGGTAGAGTGGCCAAACTAACCAATCACAACATCAGAATCCTAAGCACCTGAGAGAGTGAACTTCCCAGAACATTGCTGTACTGCTCCCAGCAGAAATACCCCAGGTGGATAACTTTTACAATCAAGAGCTCCTCAGCTGCTCACAACAAATTCTACCACGGGGTTTACAAAGTCTTATGGGTAGAAAAGTCACACTAAGAATTTTATTGCACCACACTAATTTTATACGGAAAGAGGCCTCAGATAAGCAAAGCACTATTAAAGAAGGAGAACAAAGTAGGAGGTCTCCTATTTTTCCCACACTCCCAGATCTTAAACCTACTATACAGTCACAGCTGTCACAACAGCCTTGTATTAGTATGAGAGACACATAGACCAGTGGAACAGAATTGAGAACCCAGAAATAGATCCATTGACCTAAGCCAGCTGACTTTTGACAAAGGGTTAAAATCCATTAAATGGGGAAAAGGTAGTCTCTTTCACAAATGGTGCTGGCAAAACTGAATATCTATTTGCAGAAAAATGAAATGAAATCCAAACCTTACACCATACATGAAAACCAACTCCAGATGGATCAAAGAGTTAAATGTGAGACCTAAAACTATAAAGTTCATCAAAGAAAAAATAGGAGCAAACTTGTTATTGTTGTTGTTATGTGCCATGGAGTCAGACCTGACTCATAGCGACCCCTCCTTGGGTTTCCGAGGCAGCATCACTACAGAAGTAGATTGCCCAACCTTCCTTCTGAGGAGTGGCTGGTGGGTTTGAACCGCCAGCCTTCTGGTTAGCCGTCAAGTGCCTTAGG